AAACTGTTCGAAAGCATGAAAATACATTGAATTTTTCATAAAGACTTTCAGCCACTTGCCTGTTGAATCCATTGCCTCATTTATTGTGTTTAATCTTGGAAATTTATCTTGAAATCCCCCAATTTCATCACATCCAGCAATACTGTTGCTAGTCACGTTCAAAAATCCTAATTTCTCTTTTGTTTCATCATTTATTTTTCCGCCGCCTTCAACAAAAACAAGATCTCTCACAAGACTTAACTTCTTTTCCTGTAAAAAAAAACAACAGATGTTTCATTTGTAGGTGACTTAATGCTCTGATCAACAAACCTGTTAACAGGACCAAGCACAGTCATTACCAAAATGTTCTACATCTAACAGTAGTCACCATAATTTCAATAAATTCATCACATGCACAAGTATGCCGAGGGTGGACGTGTTCACTGGAGTGCGTTAATATGGAGACACACAAGAAGACAGGCAGGAGACATACAGCATGCAAAGTTTTTAAGTTTCATCACCAGAGCAGCACTATTTCCCTCAGCTTCAAGGCGTCTCTTCTTCTCCTTATCGATCAGCCGTCGAGCATGATTCAGTTTTGCTTCTAAGATCACATTGTCTTGATTTACTTTCTCCAGTTCCCCCTGGAGTCTGCGTGATTCCAGGACAGCGGCCAACCATTTCTTCCGACATTCTTCTTGATTCAGGGCAAATTGGAGAAATTCTTTAAAAATAAAAACCACATTTAATTGGTACTGAAAAATTTAATGTGGTGTTTCTCAATTTTCACAATTCTTCCCTCAACGTAATTCACGATAAGCACATCCCAAGAAACCTCTCTAATGTGTACAATTGAGACGACCTTCCTAACATCTGCCAGCTTGACAGACATGACCACAACCACTTCTGAGGTAGATATGTACGTATGGTCAGGGGTCTGCTTACTCCAAATAAGATATTAAAACAACGGCTTGCTCAAGGAACCCACAGCTTAACATGGGTATCAAAACACACTAAGGGCTTGACATTTCACACATCCACATTACATTACCATGGGTAAGAGATGAGGAATACACACAGAAAAATCCATAAGGAACATGGTCCTAAGTCTCAAGCACATTTTACTTCACCAAGTCTCACACCCAAAATATCATAAAGGTGAGATTCACTATATGTAATTTGAATAACAAACCTACAAAAAACAACACCCAGAAAAATTTTATCACTTAATGTACAATTTTAATTTAATCCTGCAAAACACTGCTACCTAACAACAACTTTCAACCAAGAATTCATTGCAATGAAAGATGCGCTCTTAAATTTATATGTACATTTTCATACTCACTTGCCAACAAGGACTGATTATAAGTTCAATCTGCATAATATAAGACCTGAAGTGTTCACTGCGACTAAACTCAATAAAATCTCCTCAGGCAATCAGCCATGTCAAATGGTTACAGGAAGAGACCAATGTTTCTTGTTTTTTTATATAAGCAGAGTAGAGTAGAGTTTATTTACATTCCATAGATCCTTCTTAGGACTCAACCAAAGGATGTAGAACATGCCATTTCATACAATATACATACACTTCAGAACTTTCAACAAAAGTACAAGAATGTATTTCACATATCAATGTACATAAATTTCAGATTCTGCAATACAAGTATGAAAAATAATTTTACAAATTAATATACATAAACCTCAGAATTTTAAATATAAATACAAAACTTGCTTTAACATATACATAGATTATGGATATAAAGCTTAAACATTTTCAGCAGAGATGAATCTTGTATTTAAATTATGTACATCTGTATTTCTTTTAAATTTATCCATGTTTCACACCACAAATGATAGCAAGCAGAGTATAAATTCACTTGCAAGTGGAAGTATATTAAATTTACCAAATAATTTTCTACAAGATACCCTGCTTTTGACACCGGCCATTATTCTAATTATTTTCTTTTGCATGTAAAAAACTTTATTACTGTCTGTTGAATTTCCCAAAAAGATTAATCCATATGACACTACAGAGTGAAAGTAAGGAAAGTAAACTAGCTTTAAAGTATCTATTGAATGAGTGGTACGACTGTTCTCATGTCAAAGCATGCAGAGCTTAATTTGGGAATAATATATTCAATGTGTTTCTTCCAATTTAAGGTATTGTCAACTTATAAGCCATGGAATTTGTTTGTTTCAACTTCCACAATTAATTTTTCTTCAAAACCTATATTTAACCTAGGATATGTCTTGTGCTTAGTAACAAATTTTATGAAGTTTGTTTTTTCAAAATTTAGTGCCAACTATTCACAAGGGTGAATTTTTTGATTAAGTGGGGAAAAGATATCCACATTAACCATTACCAAATATGGTAAATGTAAGTTAGTTTTTACATGCACGTCAATATTTCACTCAAAGGCATTCACTCACCAGGTTCACAACTGCCTCCTGCCAATATTGTTGAACATCTTATTAAATCGTCATATGCCGCCAATAATGAGAGTGACATGTTCATGGTTTAACATACAACCTCAAATGTTTATTTTGTACACCACTTCCAAGACTGTTTGCTAAAGAAAATCTACAAGAGAAACGTATTGTCAGTTGGACCTTTCTTACTGAAATTAAACACATACACACACTTAACAAAATTTACAAAAATTAAAAATTCAATTCACTCTTAATAAACTGCCATACAATTTAGAAACCGCCATTAACATGAGGCACAAAAATAAATATTAATGCACTAAAAGACAAAATACAACGCTTACGTTACAAGTTTTTATTTCATGAGTTGTTTTAATAACATACCGCAAATCAACTTGCAAATGAAGACTCCCAAAAACATTCAAATTTCCAAGCACGTAACAAACCGTAAACCAAACGTTCACATTCAATTGCTCCAGCATTCGCTATGAAGCCAACTTTAAAATGAACCAATAGGAACGTCACCATCCCCACTTCTTCGTCAACCACAGGTTGGACAACATTACTTTCAAAATAAAGACAGCAGAACATCGGAGAAGGGAATTTTCAATTCATAGACTCGCCAGTACCAACATTACCTTGATCAATATACCTTAGATTAAACTGCAGACGAATTTTCTCCGCTTAACAAAAATCATAACATTAAACAGTTAACAGTGATAACAATAACTATGTATCAACAAACTTTATGCACTCCATTCATACTGTACAAAGGTTCAGAATGTAACACTGCAATTTTTTTAAATTCATTCTGGCATGCAGTGTTGTGGATTTGGAACATTCAACCCTTATAAGGATTCAATAATACATAATTAATTTGTTTACTTCCCCGATGTAAAATTAGCTATTGTGTTCAAAAGCAGATATCGGTAGCAAAGTTTGAATAAAAGGCCTCCCTCTGTATCAATTTATTTTATATATATAAGTGGCTTATTTAATGAGAGAGGGGAAAAACACGAAAATTTGTCAGCACAACCAATTCCCGAGCCAACATTTCGACTCTGACTTCCCAAAAACTAAGCAGTAATGGTTATAACTCAGTCATGACCTTCCTTCCTCCTGAACCACAACGACACGCCTACAGATATAAAACACCAGGGGGGATGTTCAAGCCAATAAAAGTTACCGCGCAAATAGCTGAGGGTGTTGGTTAGGGTAGTGACACGCAGTAAACTGGCATCCACGCGCAATGGCGAAATCTTGTTCTAGATGAGAAAATAAAGTGGTAGATCTAGAAAAAGATGGTCAGAACAAACTCTTTAGATGACTTTCTTTACGGGATGTTGCACTGTGCAGTCTGACAGACATAAACGACCTTTCAGAGAAGTCTACAGCCTCTAACAGGGTTATGATGATGATGGAAGCACGAACGTCCTCCGAAACGTCGGTCAACATCTACCAGACTAGACGGTGCAACATCTCAGAAGATAGTAATTTTGTTCCTGTCTCCTTGAGAACATGAAATTTCACCCAGAACAAAATTCGAAGTCAGAGCAGTCTCCCTTTGCAATTCAGTATTCACAGACTATTTTACTTTGGAAGCAAAATATCTCGAGCCTCGGCTCCGCCATGGTATGAATGGACGGGGATATATTTCTATGTTTGCCCCTTTCACAGGGACCCTGGATGGCAACATTGTGTGTATTTGTAAAGATCATCGAAGCTTGGATCTATCTTGAGTCAAGTTTACCATTCGACACTACACAACTTCAAGAAATACAATCTGAAAAGCGTCTTAGAATAAAGCACGGTGGTCTAGCGGTTAGAACGCTGGCCTTGTAAGCCTGGGGTCTCGGGTTCGATTCCCGGCGGTGCCCGAATTTATAACTTGTGTTGGGCAAGGCCGTGGTCTAGGCAACACGGAGTTTTCCTCCGTGGCATCCCACCAATTACTCCATTCACACACAGAAGAAGGCAATGGCAAACCACTTCTGGATCATCTGCCAAGAACGTATATGAACAGGTCCCAGTCCGAGAAAAGGATGGAAGGATCCTGTTCATATGGACCTGTCGTCACACAGAACACTAAATAAATAAAATAAATAAATCTGATGACAATGACCACATCCGCCATTATATTTGGGCTGGTGCAGGTGATTGGTGCGAGAGAGAGGATAACGCTGTCCTCTTCCAAGCAGTGAATTATTTTATGCGCAGGTGTAGACAGAAGCCACGCCAATCAAGATGAGGAACTGGATAGCACCCTCAACTTATCGTAAATTGTCTCATGAACTGAAGGCGGGACTTGACACCTGGTGATCAGAATATCTCAGCAACCAGTGGGGACCCCTGTGAGGCATCTTCCGCGGGAGGGAAGAGAGGGTGTGGGAGGGAAGGGTTGACGGGCGGGGAGTTGCGTCGTGAGGAATTCTACTCTAATGCAGTGAGGGTGGAGTTTTGCGTGGAACAAAATGGGCTCAAACACCGCTTTGTCTGTTCACAGTAGCCCATCACTAGATGATGACCTGTGACACTTGAATCCGGTCCACATCCTCACACCATACACAATTTGAAACCTAAGTTTCAACATGAACTCAACTGATACTGCTCTTTATTAACATTTATTCTCTACGCTGTCAGCCTCCTCCGAAAATCTTCAGAGAATACATAATAAAGTTCTAAAGAGTTAATACAGAGTGTCCGAATTAAAACCCAAGTCCAACTACTACACACAAAACGACGAAGTAAAGTTCAGTTGTCCTGCTACTAAAGCCATTCGTATAAAGCAGTGTTAAACAAGAGTCACGCACATTGGAATGAACACATGGGTGGGCCATTTTTACGTGCAACCGTGCGGAGTGCCAATTAAAACTGCCTTGGCCATCCGACTCAACAGATTTTCGTTAAATTTTACATTTGAGTGCTTTCATTACATTTTTAAACATATTTTCAGTTTGTTCAAAATATGAAAGGAATAGCGGGGCACGTTGCACGTAGCCTTACGTGCATTTTTGACCTTCAAAGTAATTGGGTGGGTGATTCTCACAAATCCAAATGTCAAACTGAAAACGTGCCACAACAGACGAGGTAGGCGAACATTTCATAAATCGTTATAACGCTGTCAGATATACAAGAATTATAACTTTATGAATTTCTTGTGGTAGAGGAGTTCGCCTATGAACAGAAGGAGACTCAGACTGTGTCCAAATAAAAGAATATAGAACGCAACGCTCAGATGACCCAGAGTAAAGATAAAATACTCTCCAAATACGTTCCCCGGCTCCGGGACGTCTTTGTTTTTATACCTTCTGTCTCTGTCCATCTTCACGATCATTCCAGACTCGGTGCTAGATGAGATGAACCGGTTTATGAATTCAAGTAGAAAGCTTCCTTTCGGAAAGTAAAAACTTATTAAGATAAAAAATGTGTCGTCGTCATTGAGAGGGCAAATGAAACTGTGGTCATTGATAAAATTCGTGTAATCCTGTACCAGCCACTCTTCAGAAAGAGTGGCATAATTTCCAGTCTCACGGATTCTATCAATGCACATAATCTCTGGCGAACAATCTTCCCTTTTTGAAAGTAGTTCTTTATGCCTCCAGTCCGATGACTCGTCATAATGTATATCAAAGTCATTCCTGTATCCAAATGCCATGCCCGATTCAAGAATTTCTTCCAACGTCGTCAACTGCTTCTGGTAACCTGGATCTACCAAGAAGCTCGTAAAGAAAGTCTGAAAAACTGTACTCATGGCGAAGCAATACCAGACGAAACCAAGGAACGTCAACTTCAGCGTGAATTTTCTCGGCATCTCTGTGACACTAACCCCTACCATGACAGCCCAGTTATTGAACAAGGAACTTGAGAAAGACGTGTAGGAGGGGACTTCGTCGACTCCCTTTGCCAGCCACCAGGAAGCTACCGTGACCAGGAGAAATACGATTACCATGGCACTCCACACAGAGACTGAGAATATGTTTGAAATCCGCTGGAGTCGTGACAAAGGCTTGAGGCAAGGTACAAACCAATCCGCGAGAAAGGCTTGAGGCAAGGTACAAACCAATTGTACTTGACGACATAATACGGGAAAGAATAGTCTGCAAATCGGGCTGCTTCTTCCAGAAGTGGAAGGCCCGCGAACGACATATCGGAATTGCCCATTGCCGCGTCCGTAATACTCGTTTCGACTTTATAACGGATAGACGCGTTTAGTGGAATTTCGCTTACGTAGTTGCATGTGATATTTAATCTCCGAAATTGTTCTTTGACGAACAAGTCCTCAGCCTGATCCCTGAAACCGGCTGACATTTTAAAAGGGCAGCCATGAAAGTTAGAAGGGAACTTGTACGGGAATAAAGCTACATCCCTGACAAAGCCGCCTTCCTCTTCCATGACCCACCGATTTATTAAAACTACATCTTTGACGTCATCACAGTCTTCATGCGATGTGTATGGAAACCAGGTGTACAAGTATATCACTGTGCCATTATGAACCAACACCACCAGGTTCAGAATCCTGGCTGCGTCCCACAGTACCTGAACAATGGAAAGTGCCATCTGTTCAGGCATCAGCACTTCAGCAGTGACCACGACCAAGAACCGCCCTCGACTATCCCATGATTCAGCGTCCGACAGTTCTTCAACTCGAAGTACCAAGTCTTCAGCCGTCCGCGTGAACAAAATGTAACTTCTTATCTTCTCGTCATTTATGGTAGGTGGCAGCACAGTGATATTACTTTGCTGTAACACGCTAAGAGGCCATAGTTCGAACCCGTGCATGGTCTGAATCACGGTGTTCGCTAAGTCGTCGTCACCTACAAGGCTGGAGATGAGGATGGTTCTGCCCAGCTCGTAGTGTTGACGCACGATGGTGACCACGCAAGATACCAAGTGTCTCTCTTCTGACAGGTGTATGACGTCCTCGGTCAAATGCGCTTCGAGGATCGCTATTACGGACACCAGTAATACAGCCCTCATACTGCAAAAAAAAAAAATTATTAGCGTAATGTGCCGTCTGGCCTGATACAAGTTTTCGACGTTTCAGGAGGCGACTGCTGCCTCAATCATCAGGCGCTCATATTCCTGACGATGTGAGCAGTAAGCACCTCTACCATTTCCAGCACTAAAACCATATTCATGCTTACAGAAATGCTTTACTTACCCGTCAACTCCACTAAATTGTTACAAGCAATGCTTGGTCAGTAAATAATTCAACCTGGTCGAGTCAGTCCTCTTGAAGTTTGTCATATCTGACAGAAACATACCTGCATATATATGTTTCTGGCTTGATCCATTTTCTGTTCTGTTTCGCGTTCTCTCTGACTGGTTTCTGAAGAAGGAAAAAAAGTAATGATCTCTTAATTATACGTCAATGGTATTGTTGTGACTGACAAGAAAAGATCATTTGTCTTTCTTGTCACTTACAAAATCCTTAGGGCAAAACCACCGTGTGACTTTTGCGGTGTGATGCAGTTAATAAGAAAGAACAGAACATGTCAAAGGCGTATTTTCTGACAGTAATGACCAGGTGTATGACGTCCTTGATCAAATGCGCTTCGAGGAGCGCTATTGCGGACACCAGTAATACAGCCCTCATACTGCAAAAAAAAAATTATTAGCGTAATGTGCCGTCTGGCCTGATACAAGTTTTCGACGTTTCAGGAGGCGACTGCTGCCTCCATCATCAGGCGCTCATCTTCCTGACGATGTGAGCAGTAAGTACCTCTACCATTTCCAGCACTAAAACCATATTCATGCTTACAGAAATGCTTTACTTACCCGTCAACTCCACTAAATTGTTACAAGCAATGCTTGGTCAGTAAATAATTCAACCTGGTCGAGTCAGTCCTCTTGAAGTTTGTCATATCTGACAGAAACATACCTGCATATATATGTTTCTGGCTTGATCCATTTTCTGTTCTGTTTCGCGTTCTCTCTGACTGGTTTCTGAAGAAGGAAAAAAAGTAATGATCTCTTAATTATACGTCAATGGTATTGTTGTGACTGACAAGAAAATATCATTTGTTTTTCTTGTCACTTACAAAATCCTTAGGGCAAAACCACCGTGTGACTTTTGCGGTGTGATGCAGTTAATAAGAAAGAACAGAAGATGTCAAAGGCGTATTTTCTGACAGTAATGACTTGTTGGTTTGACACTGAACAGCGACTGATATTTGGAATTTACAGCACAACGGCAAAATAAGACACATTGATAACAGAAATTCTGATATAGTTTTGGGGTAATTTCTCGGTTTATGACAAAAAGAAAATGAAGAAAGAAATACCTCCATGAGAAGTTAATAGTAGGTAAGCTAGTCCAAATAACCGCCACGGTGGTCTAGCGGTTAGAACGCTGGCCTTGTAATCCTGGGGTCTCGGGTTCGATTCCCGGCAGTGCCCGAATTTATAACTTGTGTTGGGCAAGGCCGTGGTCTAGGCAACACGGAGTTTTCCTCCGTGGCATCCCAACAATTACTCCATTCACACACAGAAGAAGGCAATGGCAAACCACTTCTGGATCATCTGCCAAGAACGTATATGAACTGGTCCCAGTCCGAGAAAAGGATGGAAGGATCCTGTTCATATGGACCTGTCGTCAGACAGAACACTAAATAAATAAATAAAGCCAGTCCAAAGCCCCGCCTTTAACGGAACCGGAAGGTTCAAAACAGTCTTCACCAGGGTCCGCCACTATCGCAAGGGACATGAATCCAATCCACTCCCTTAATATAAATTGTAATATTACCTTCTCGTTTTCCACCCCTATGTCTTCCAATTGGTAGTAAAGGTGTCTGTAAACGTATTAGTAGTGTTGTCAGTAGAGGAGTAGGAAATTAGAATCAAGTCATGTTGCATAACCTTCAAGATTCCTTCACGAAGCCAAGGCCTCGGCTCGCTGAAATGGCGCTGTTGAGTCTTATATTAACCATAAATCTCCTGCACGGTTTATACGATCATAAACTTGTCAAAAGACAAAATAGAAACGTCATTCACGGGTAGGTGGGAGTCAAAAGTGTATATTTCATACTGAAACGTCTTTGTCTGAGCGCCTTATTCATTTAAACACGTGACGTTTTGGTGTCGTTGGCGAGAGAGCTCAGTTCACATTAAAAATCACCCTTCAGTCCAGAACAAAGTAACCAATTTGGTCGAGAACTATCAGGGAATTACCCACCGACCATTTCGTCACCTTTACCACCGCCCTGATGATGGAGGCAGCAACCACCTCTGAAACGTCTTTAAATTTCTGCCAGACTACACGACACGATTTCCCAGGAGACAGACATGAGAACCTGAAATCTCAATCAAGCCATCGGGTTTCCCAACTAAAATTTTCTATACTTTTCCTGTCTCTTCCCGCCGTCCTTAACATGATCACCCGAATGATATTTGGCGGTGAATACGTTCATATTTTTCTCCATTCTCACCAAATATCATCATCATGGTTATAACACATTTTGCGAACGAACCAGCTGCTAGGTAGAGCTAAACTCTAGAGATATTAATGACGTAATTTCATCACCAGGAGTTCCCCCCTTCATAACGAGCAGCAGACAGAGACAGGAAGTAAGATATATCTGCGCAATTTCTCAGACCTTGATAAT